GAAGACATAAAAACCTGGATGACTCTTAACTTTCTGCTTCTGAATGCAGACAAAACAGAAGTTATAGTCTTTGGACCAGAGTCTCTGAAAAAGAAGCTGATTAGTCAGTCACTTCATTTGGATGGGATTAAACTGATTTCAGATAATAAAGTAAAAAATCTTGGTGTTATTTTTGATCAGGACCTGTCATTTAAATCCCATATCAAAGAGGTTTCTAGAATTTCCTTCTTTCATCTGAGGAATATTGCAAAAATGAGCAATCTCCTGTCCAGGGGTGATGCTGAGAAACTAGTCCATGCATTTGTTACTTCAAGGCTGGACTATTGTAATTCTTTACTATCAGGAAGTCCACAAACTGTAGTTAAAAGCCTTCAGCTGATCCAAAATGCTGCAGCCAGAGTTCTGATGAAAATGAAAAAGAGAGATCATATCTCTCCTATCCTGGCTTCTCTTCATTGGCTTCCTGTTAAATCCAGAATAGAATTTAAAATCCTCCTTCTCACATATAAAGCCTTAAATGGCCAAGCTCCATCTGATATCAGAGATCTGATTGTTCCTTATGTTCCTAACAGAGCACTTCGCTCTCAATCTGCAGGTTTACTAGTGGTTCCTAGAATTTCTAAAAGTAGAATGGGAGGCAGATCTTTTAGTTCTCAGGCTCCTCTCCTGTGGAACCAACTACCAGTTTTAGTCCGTGAGGCAGACACCCTGTCTACTTTTAAGGCTAGGCTTAAAACTTTCCTTTTTGATAAAGCTTCTAGTTAGAGTGGCTCAGGTTATCCTGATCTATCTCTATAGTTCTGCTGCTATAGGCTTAGACTGCTGGAGGACATAGGGACCCCTTTTTCATCATTCTGCTTCATTCTATCTCTATTCTCCCACTCTGCAGAATCTGTTAGTTCAATCTCTAACGTTCTGCTCTCTCTGCTTTTTCTCATAGTAGCTTCATCTGGTCTGTTCCTGTTTGGCTGTGACTCCATCCTGGAGAGAAACATCAGCTGTGCTGCTGCCATCAACACCTTTGTTTCTAGATGTTGGAGCTTGGCCTGTTTTCCAGCGTAGTCCTGTTTCTCTGACTGTGACTAACTGGCCTGCATAAGATAACGGGGGAAAAAAACACAGATTTTTTTTTAATAGAAATTTTCAAACTTTTTGGACAATATCATCTGATAAAGAGAACATTTATATTCATGTTTAAGCCAGAATGATTTGACATTATAAATATGTTTTCCCTACTAATTTAAAATGAAGCTGAATAGTTCTGCTATTTAGAGGAGCAAAGAGCTGATCCAGTGTCCCTCTGACCATCGGGGGGGTTACGCCTGCTGGAAGACTCTTAGAGGAAGTTCTTCAGATATCAACTGGACCTCTAGGTCGACATCGGCCTCCCTACACCTCAAAGATAACAATGGGAAGACCTCCCATTGTTTCAGCAGCAGCTTGTAAAGGCTAGTGATGAGTTGAAGGTCTGGGCGTTACGCCTCGTCCTGCTGGCGCTGTGACCCGGCCCAGATAAGGAGCAGGAAACCAAACAGCAGAGACCCAGAGGATAGATGAAGCTCATGACCACAGCATCATTTTAATCCAAAGAAAGACTGCTCTGACATATTTCAGTTTATATCCATATGCCATCTCATCATCTCTATGGTTACAGCGACTGTCACTGACTGAACTTCCAGGTTTATTGTAGTTTTATGGGTTTTGTTTTTTTAAAGCAGACTTTTCCATAATAAAATACCTCAGGAGTTTCAAATGGAGCACTGAATGCAAATGTTTAACTAAAGAGAATTCACCGTCCCATCGCTTGGCTTTTAGACACTTTAATCATATTTATAGCTTTTCTAAATAACAGTATTGTGTTTAGATTTAAGGTAGTGGAGCAGCGGCTCGGTCTTTAGGGCATAGAACTTCCTGAGGTTCTGTTTGAGCCCCACTCCCACAGACTGCAACTCTGGGTCCCTGAGCCAGACCCTGAACCCCACCCTGCTCCCCCGGCGCCACACAATGGCCCCCCCCCACCCCCCTCACCCACTGACAGCTGGAGATAGGCACCAACACCCCCCTCACCACCCCAGCAGGGATAAGCGTGACGGAAATTGATGGATTTGTTTATATTTAAGCTTTAGATAAAAAAAATATAGATCCAGACCTAAGATTTACACATAGATTCCAGATTTACACATAACTTTAACATTTATACGTAGACATTGGATGTAGAAATAGATTTCACAGATATAATAATTTAGATTTAAAATGTATACGCTGAGCTGATAGAACAGCGGACCAGACCGGATCAAATAGTCGTCCATCATGCAGTAGTTTCTCTTCTGATTGGCTTATAAAAGGCAGCTCTGTGATTGGCTGCAAACCATCCTGTTTAAAAAAAATGCATTTGTGCATCGAGGCACAACAAGAGAGTCTCAATGCAGTGAAGTTTAAAGACCAATTTATAATTTCATTTCTAATTGTTTATGGAGCAGAAATACTTTGGTGAATCGGGCTGTGCACGTATGAATCACTAAGGTGTATTTGTGAAAACAGACCTACTTAGCTCCATACGTGTTCGCTGGCCCTTTAAATGTTTATTCAAAATCTATCAATAAATGTTAGAGAAACAGGAACATGTGAAGCCAGTATGCTGGATACAGGAGTGTGACAGTCTGCGTTTTACAAGATAAAACTTTCAACTATCAGAGAGCTGCAAAAGAAACAAAAAAGACAGAAAGAAGAACAACAGAGCAGAGAAGATAGAAAGGATGTGTTCCAATAAATATAATAGATATTCACATATAGAGAGGTTGTTCTTTAATAAATGTGTAATAATAATCATTTAGAATACTGGGGAGCTCAACTATCCGCATTTTAATATCAGGTGCTGCTGGAACTTTCCATGATATTAAGAGATAAAATGATATGAGAATTAAAGAAAGGATTTAGAATAGAATAGAATAGAATAGAAAATCCCTTTATTTTCCATCAGTGGAGAAATTCTGGTGTTTAAAGCAGCAAAATGATTATTGAAAAAATAGTCACACAAATATGGACCTTAGAAAACATTATAAGAATAACATAATAGGGAAGATTTAAAATATAAACAATAAAATCCTGTAAAGTGTTTAAACAATATAAAACTGGAGAATAAATAACCAATATGCAGCTATGGACATTTTTACAGTAATTAGAAAATAGCAGCAACATCAGAGATGTGCAGAATGACAGCAGCAGGTTATTTAACTGACTAAGGTAGAAATCAGCCTGAATGGAAGAACTGGTTTAGGTTACTGGGAACAGTGGTGGTTCTAGAGTCTTCCAGCTGCTGGGAGGAAGGATCTGTGATAACGCTCCCTGGTGCATTTAAGGTGCAGCAGTCTGTCACTGAAGGAGCTCTCCAGTTCAGCACCAGCTGAACCAGCATGGGTGGGGGCTGTTCATTTAGTTAGGATCCGTCTGTTACCTGCACTGAGTCCAGAGGGCATCCAATCACAGCTGGCCTTCCTGATCAGCTGATCCAGGCGCTTCCTTAAGGCTGGTTTATACTCAGAAACCAGGTCGTCTGCGTTTGTGTCGCAGTGAATGCAGATATGCCCCGCCCCCTTCTGAAGACACTCTGCTGCACCTCTCTCCAATTATAGGTGACCGTAGACCGGAGGCCTCTGATTGGTCAGATCTACATCCCTCTACTCTATGCGTATTTCCTGTTTGGTTCCTTACCGGCTGGTTTTGTTTGTCTGACCGCCATTGTGGAAAACGACTGGTGAAGATGGAGCAGCTAGAAGAGCGAGGTGCGTGGGAACGCTGGGACCCTTTTCCCACCTGGATCCCCGCTCTTTTTGGCCCTCATGTCCCTCCGTTGTCGCACAAACTCGCCCCCACTTCCTCACCGCCTCTTACAGGATCCCACCAGCCCCTCCCTCAGCAGCATGTCCATCTCTATCACCTGCAGGATTAGCTCCGCCCCTCCCTCCATCCAGGCTGCTTTCATTTTGGCTTCAATCAGCCTCTGCTGACACCTGCTGAGGTTAGCGAGCTCCGCCTCCTCAGACAGCACCGTGTGCTTTGATTGTTAAAGGGAGGAAATCAAAAACCCAACATCATTTATAATGCATGCACTTTTATGTATTTGTCTCAGTAAGTTTATTAATATAATAAAAGTTTATAAAAAATATTGATATTAATATTTTGTTTTAAACAACAATATGTTCGGTCTTGTTTCAATAGGCTATGTTCATTTTATCATGTTGTAATAAACATTTAATCAGTCCGGCCCTCAGCTTTTTTTTGGCCCTCAGTGTTTTTGACTCTGACATCCCTGGATCAGAGGGACGATCCGTTTCCATGTTTGCGTGTTTATACTGAGAGAAACAGGGAAAGTGGTTCCTTCCCAGTCCCAGCAGGACCATGGAATCATGTTTCAGGAATGAGTGACATCACAACCCAGAACAGACTACATCATTCCTGCTGACCAGCAGCAGAACTTCACCACAGGACCTGACTTCAGAAAGCAGAAGGTTCTGGACCCAGACCCCAGGACCCAAATCCCAGGAGCCAGACCCCAGGAACCAGACTCCAGGACCCAAATCCCAGGAGCCAGACCCCAGGAACCAGACCCCAGGACCCAAATCCCAGGAGCCAGACCCCAGGACCCAGACCCCAGGAGTCAGACCCCAGGACCCAGACCCCAGGAGCCAGACCCCAGGACCCAAATCCCAGGAGCCAGACCCCAGGACCCAGACCCCAGGAGTCAGACCCCAGGACCCAGACCCCAGGAGCCAGACCCCAGGAGCCAGACCCCAGGACCCATACCTGGGGTCCATCAGCAGCAGCAGTGGGTGATCAGTTCCAGAGCTAAACCTGGTTCTGATTGGTTATCAGTAGAATCCATCTTCCTCCAGATAAACTCATATCTACAACTACACACACTCCCAGTGACGCCATCACCCCTGCATCACCTCCTCCTCCTCTTCATCATCATCATTCTTTCCGTGCACGTGTCATCTTACCTGTTTCTGCTGGCTGCGCGAGCTCCGTGCGCGTGCCCGCCGGAGTACAAGCTGTAGGAGGCCCGCATCGGGAACGTGCTTCTGGCGTGCTCGCAAATCCAGAGCACGAGCAAAAGCAACGGGAGCGCGCCCATCCCGATCAATACGGTATCAATGAAGATGATTGATCCTCGATCACCACGTGATCAACTCTTTAGAGGGCGGGAAAATGTCTTATCTCCATGGAGACGGAGAAAATTTCCTGGAAGTTAGTTCTTCATGATCCGGATTCTGATCCGAACCGAGTCCAGAATCTGAGTCCTGATCGAGCCTCCTCTAAGCTGCGCTGAAGGGAGGCTCCTCCATCAGAGCAGGAGAAACAAAGAGAAGAAAAAGTTACGACAGTCTGAAGAGGCCAGCTGCTCCTCCTCTTCACTGACCCCGCCCACGCAGGAGGAGAAACTGGAGCTGCTGCGGCCACACCTGGACACGGAGGAGGAGGACATAGAGAAAGGAGGAGGAGGAGAAATAGGAGGGAGGAGGCCCAGGAGGAGTAAGAGAAAGGAGGAGGAGGAGAAGGTAGAGGGAGGAGGAGGAGGAGAAAGTGAGGGGAGGAGGAGGAGGAGGAGAAATAGGAGGGAGGAGGCCCAGGAGGAGTAAGAGAAAGGAGGAGAAGGTAGAGGGAGGAGGAGGAGGACCAGGAGGAGGAGGAGAAAGGAGGAGGAGGAGAAAGTGAGGGGAGGAGGAGGAGAAAGGAGGAGAGGACCAGAAGGAGGAAGAGAAAGTAGAAGGAGGAGAAGGTGGAGGAGGAGGCCCAGGAGGAGTAAGAGAAAGGAGGAGGAGGAGGACATAGAGAAAGGAGGAGGAGGAGAAAGTGAGGGGAGGAGGAGGAGGAGAAAGTGGAGGGAGGAGGCCCAGGGGGAGTAAGAGAAAGGAGGAGGAGGAGGAGGGAGGAGAAAGGAGGAGAGGACCAGAAGGAGGAAGAGAAAGTAGAAGGAGGAGAAGGTGGAGGGGGGAGGCCCAGGAGGAGAAAGGAGGGGGAGGGGGAAGAGAATTAGGGAGGAGGAGAAAGTGGAGGAGGACCATGAGAAGAGGAGGGATGAGGAGGAGAAAGGAGGATGAGGAGAGAGGAGGAGGTGCGGTTCGAAGTCCCAGATTGCTTCAGGAACAGTGGATTATCTGACACTGTTTATGTAGAAAAACGTTTAACTAACTAACTAACTAACTAACTAACTAACTAGGTAACTAACTAACTGGGTGATTTAAATCATTCATAAGGTTACAGATAATCATAAAAACTGTCTGCTGTCCTCAATTCTATTCAGTTTATTTCTATAGGGCCAATTCACACATCATCTCCAGGATCTTTACAGCTGATTGCATCGACTCATTGACTCTTCAGCAATCCCTCACACTAAGCATGCTTGTAGCGACAGTGGAGAGGAAAAACTCCCTTTGAACAGGAAGAAACCTCCAGCAGAACCAGGCTCAGTGTGAGCGGCCATCTGCTGAGGCCCACTGGGGTTCAAGGAGACAGAAGCAGACATAGAAAAAGAAGCATAGATACAAAAGGCAACTGTCAACCAGCTCCACAGGCGGCCCCGTCCAGGAAACACACAGCCAGGCAGACGAGCTCCGAGCCAGCTCCCATGTCAGAGGATGAAGAGAGCACATCCAGTTAGTCACAGTCAGAGAAACAGGACTACACTGGAAAACAGGCCAAGCTCCAACATCTAGAAACAAAGGTGTTGATGGCAGCAGCACAGCTGATATTTCTCTCCAGGATGGAGTCACAGCCAAACAGGAACAGACCAGATGAAGCTACTATGAGAAAAAGCAGAGAGAGCAGAAGGTTAGAGATTGAACTAACAGATTCTGCAGAGTGGGAGAATAGAGATAGAATGAAGCAGAATGATGAAAAAGGGGTCCCTATGTCCTCCAGCAGTCTAAGCCTATAGCAGCAGAACTATAGAGATAGCTCAGGATAACCTGAGCCACTCTAACTAGAAGCTTTATCAAAAAGGAAAGTTTTAAGCCTAGCCTTAAAAGTAGACAGGGTGTCTGCCTCACGGACTAAAACTGGTAGTTGGTTCTCCACAAATTCTTGTTCATATTTTAATTAAAACACAAAGTCTTCTTCAAAGTGTTCCAACTGCAGGCGGAGCAGAACTGGGACAGAGAAAAACAATTCCCCATCTTCAGTCGATCCATCAGAGGTTCTGTTTCCATCAAACTGCAGTTTGCTGAAGCTGCCTGATTCTTCAGGTTCCGCTGAGCCCATCATCCTCCATTTATACTTCAACACCAGGTCGTCTGCGTAGGTTTCGCAGTGAACAAAAAGACGTCCCCGCCCCCTCCGCAGACACTCTGCTGCACCTCTCCCAAATTGTAGGCGAGCGCAGACAGAAGGTCGGCTTGTTTGGTGTGTCTGACCGACATTGTGGAAAACGACTGGTGAAGATGGAGCAGCTAGAAGAGCGAGGTGCGTGAGAACGCTGGGACCCTTTTTCCACCTGGATCCTCGCTCTTTTTGGCCCTCATGTCCCTCCGTTGTCTCACAAACTTGCCCCCACTTCCTCTCCGCCTCGGCCGTATCTAGACCCACAGCTAGTTCCTGATTGGCCCTCTGGCGTTGTGGCGTGGAATAACATAGCGCAGACCACGCTTCAATATTGGGCAGAAATCAAAAATATCTGCGACACGCTCACTGCGACACACTGCTGGGGGAGGATAACCAGACCTTTAGCCAAACTTTATTGTCATTTCTTATTTACAGACTGTTTACAAAGCAAAGTTGTGTTTTGTGCAGCTCTCATGACATTTCCATCTCTGAAGTGCAGCAGTGATCAAATATAAACACTGGGAGAAGAAAAAATGCATTGATATGGTCGGTTTCAGGCAGAGACTGACATGATTTAGAGTTTGTTTTTTAACATTCAGCCTTTCTTTCTCAGTTTTTTTTATTTCTCAGTTTATCCAACAGTTCATCAGTGTGATGGCGGCGGGGAAGAAGCTGCTGCAGAACCTGCTGGTCCTGCATCGAATACTGGGAAGCCTCTTCCCAGAGGGCAGCAGGGAGAACAGTCCATGGTGGGGGGGTGAGACAGCTGGTCAGAAGGCTCTCTATGGTGCTTCTGGAGAAGGTGGGGAGGATGGGGGGGTCAGGTGAGGACCTGCAGGCCAGGTGTGTCTCTCCTGTTGGATCCACTGATCAGAACCATCAAAAGTTTAGAGAGATGCTCGAGAAATCAGATCTAGTCTCGCTTTTAGACATAGTGTGAGGAGCTTCATGTTATCTGACCTTCTGACCTGACACATGCTCCGCCCCCTCACCTGTAGGGCCTGCAGGTCCTCACCTGCCAGTCAGAACTCAGCTTACTCAGCATCAACCACAAACAGAAAAGTCCTTCTGATAAAACAGAATAAATTGGTTTTCTAGTCAATAGAAGCAGCTCACAGAGTCCCTGCTTCACCTGCAGGGAACAGCCACCTGAAGCTCACCTGGTCTGTCGTTAAACCAGAGAGAACCATATGTTTCAGGGCAAAGGTCGCAGAGTCAAGAATGCGATTTTGGAATATAACAGTAAAATGTGTCCAGACTTTTCCCTGGAGACACAACCTGGAATGTTCTGAGGAACGATGCTCCAGCTGCTCCAACCACAGAAGAAGAAGAAGTCTGAAAAAGTTTGATGAGAACAAACATGAGGAGGATGCTGATTAGAGAAGAAATTACTGAGAGTGTTTCGGTTCGTCTTTACAGAGCAAAGGTCAGCATCATCATGAGTCCACTACATTTTCTCAGAGCCTCCTTCCTGCAGCCTGTTCATCCTCCAAATGCAGAGGAAGGGGATGGAGATCCTTCAGTTTTACAACGAGCTCATGCATGGTAAATATCTTCTCCTTGGCTTCCATGGACACGGCCTGATCATTCATCATGGCTTTTAGGAATGCTGGGGAATGTTGGGGAATGTTGGGGGATGTTTGGGAATGTGTGGCTGCAATCTTAGGCTTCTCTCCTTTACTAGAAACACAGTCACCACAGATTTACCACATTTCAGCAGCAGAGGTGGAAACATTTCTGTTTGACTAACAGATGTTTACAAAAAGGGGAGGAGCAGCAACTGAAGAGAAAGGAGAGGGGGAGGAAAAATGGGAGGGAATGAGGAAGGACAGGGAAGTAGGAAGGAGGAGAGTTGAGATTAAAATCTGCGAAGATCGATCAGGTTTCAGAAGGCTGATATTTTATAACAATAACGGCATAGTTCCTATAAAATACGTCAGCGTCCATCAATCAGGGATTTATAAACCGGTTCTGCTAAATTTAGGTGTTTATAAATCCTTACGGTGACATTCAGAGATTTCTAAACCTGTAGAGGTGACGGTCAGACGTTTTGTTCAGGTGTTTATAAATGCGAAATTCACAGATTTCTAAACCTGTAGAGGTGACGGTCGGATGTTTTGTTCAGGTGTTTATAAATGCGAAATTCACAAATTTCTAAACCTGTAGAGGTGACGGTCAGACGTTTTGTTCAAGTGTTTATAAATGCGAAATTCACAGATTTCTTTACCTGTAGCGGTGACGGTCGGATGTTTTGTTCAGGTGTTTATAAATGCGAAATTCACAGATTTCTTTACCTGTAGCAGTGACGGTCGGATGTTTTGTTCAGGTGTTTATAAATGCGAAATTCACAGATTTCTTTACCTGTAGCGGTGACGGTCGGATGTTTTGTTCAGGTGTTTATAAATGCGAAATTCACAGATTTCTTTACCTGTAGCGGTGACGGTCGGATGTTTTGTTCAGGTGTTTATAAATGCGAAATTCACAGATTTCTAAACCTGTAGAGGTGACGGTCGGATGTTTTGTTCAGGTGTTTATAAATGCGAAATTCACAGATTTCTAAACCTGTAGAGGTGACGGTCAGACGTTTTGTTCAGGTGTTTATAAATGTGAAATTCACAGATTTCTAAACCTGTAGAGGTGACGATCGGATGTTTTGTTCAGGTGTTTATAAATGTGAAATTCACAGATTTCTTTACCTGTATGTGGTGTTCAGGTGAATTTACTTCCAGGGATTTATAAACCTGTAAGGCCACATTTAGGTTTTAAAACCTGTACAGATGACATTAAAGTGTTTATAAACCGACACGGGTGGTGTTCAGGTATTTGTACATCTGTACAGGTGTGGTTTAGCTGTTTATAAATATTTACAGGTGGGGTTCATGAATTTCTGAACCTTCATGTGATGTTCAGGTGTTTATAAATGCGAAATTCACAGATTTCTTTACCTGTAGCGGTGACGGTCGGATTTTTTGTTCAGGTGTTTCTAAATGCGAAATTCACAGATTTCTTTACCTGTAGAGGTGACGGTCGGATGTTTTGTTCAGGTGTTTATAAATGCGAAATTTACAGATTTCTAAACCTGTAGAGGTGACGGTCGGATGTT